GACAAATGAACCGGTAACTTTTGCAACGCAATTTTCTCAAAATCCTGCATAACAATATCAGCAACAACAGGTGAAAGAAGTGAACCCATAGGAGAATCCCAAAAATCGGTTTATATATTATATTATTAAATGAGAAAAACATGATACATGCTCTTTCTCCTTCCTAATATTTACCCTCTCATTCTTTCACACATCCTTTGTTACAGCTTGTTTTTGACATTTCGTTATCTGACTCGATGAAGACTGGTTCAATATATCTGCAAATTCGCTCTTTTTTAAAAAATGTTGTCGACAATTAAACTACGATTACATTTTTTACTGTTCTGTGGACTTATTACAAAAAATCTGTTTCTTGCTACATTTTACTTTTTTGTGAACTTATTTAACAAGGTATACTATAGTTTTATATACAATACTAAGGTTTTATTTTATTTATTTCGTATTTAACTTAAGAAAAATTTTGTAGAATACCATACTTTATACAACTTGACATCTGAATTTTATTCTATTGACTATATGTACGAAAAACAAGATTATATACACCGCTTTTCTAGGATAACGATTTTTGTACTTTTGTGTTAATCTAATTTTAATTGTAACATTGAAAATAACTCGATCGAAGTCAAAACGTCTGTAGCTACATTATTTGAAATTAAATGTTTATTATTTATGTTACATTGTTGGCTCTTTGCCCTCTTATTATTTATTTGTTTTATATTTATGGAGCCTTATATTAATTATTATTATTAACAATAATTAATACGTTGAGAATGGCGAATAAGAGTCAATCTAAATCTGATAATATATTCTAATATTCTATATTGCGAAGAATATCACGTAATGTTTGGCGTTTCGTCCCGGCTTCCACTACTGGACTCATCAGTAAGGTATTGTAGTGGAAGCCTACCTTAGACGCCGGTGTAAGTTATTAAATCGAGATTCTATATAAAGAGATATACGCGTGTCTCAGCACTTGCGAGAATTTGCGAATATCGATAGACCTCTGATGGCGGGTCGACGTAGTAATATTCTTCGCAATATTTATCCAAAGTGAGAAATAACGTTCTAATTATATATAGTCCCCCCAAATAATCTGATTTTTAAATGTCCCCTCTTCTTAATTGTTGCGCGCCGAAAGATTTTTCGGTCTTGCAACGCAACTCTAATAATCTGAAATATCCCCCCTCCTAAATATTTGCGCGCCGATGGATTTTCGGTCTTGAAACGCAATTAATCTAGAAACTGTAAATTTTTACTTAATGAACAGAATTGCAATGTATTATCCGCGTTATTACAACCTGCGGTTTTGAAAACAAATAATTGAATATCTATAGATCTCTGATGGCGAGTCGACGTAGTAATATTCTTCGAAAACATTAAATGTTGATGTGTCAACCGTTAACAAACGTTTAAAAACAATGGGAATGCTCCAGAGGTTAGGAAATTATGGATCCCACATGAATTGAGAGAAAGAGACATTGCGAAACGTTCAGTCATTTGTGAATTGCTGCTTCAACGACAAAAACGGAAGTCATTTTTGAATCGAATTGTGACTGGCGAAAAATGGATTCGTTATGACAATCCTAAACGTAAGAAATCATGGATGCGTCCCGGCGAACCATCAACATCAACGCCAAAACAGGATATTCATGGAAAGAAGGTCATGCTGTGCATTTGATGAGATCAAGTCGGTGTCGTGTATTATGAGCTGCTGCAACCGAATCAAACCATCAATGGTGAATGCTACCAACGTCAATTACTCAATTTGAATCGAGCACTCAAAGAAAAACGCCCGTAATAAGCCAAAAGACATGATAAAGTTATTCTTCTCCATAACAACGCCAGACCCACGTGTTGCACAACCAGTGAAGGAAATCTTGGAGACACTTGGGATGTCTTACCTTACCCGCCCTATTCACCAGACGTTGCTCCATCAGATTACTATTTGTTTCGGTCGAAGTAGCATTGTCTTTTTGAGCAGCACTTCAGTTATTTCGAAGATATCAAAAAATGGCTCGATAACTGGATAGCCTCGAAAGAATCTGAATTATTCTATCGCGGAATCCATTTGTTACCCGAAAAGTGGGAAAAGGTTATAGCTTTCGATGGACAATATTGTGAATAAAATATCAGATACCTTTTTGATAAAATAAGCACGAGTTTTTTTAATAAAAGACAGCAAGAGTTAATTCAAGAACCTTAATAGTGTTACGTCCAAGCCTCAGGATTCTTTCTTTAGAGGAAAGTATCCGGAGTAAGGAGGAGGTTTCGAAAGAACGTAACTGACGCCGCTCTGTCTCTTGATCGTGTCATCCTGCGGAGCGTCACGAGAGACAGTCGAACGCGCTTGAAGGGGCCTGGAATTAGGTCAGTGTGCCACATGTGGCGTACTATAACTCTATTCGAGCCGCGCGTCCGTCGGTCCCTTTAATTTAGGCCAAGGAACTCAATCCTTATAGCCTGGGATATGGACCGAGTACAACCCTGAGGCAACGGTTGGGAATGCGGGGGAAGGTTTAAATTAAATCAGACACCTTGATATAGATTAAGTACTAAGATCTATTATTTATTTTTAAAATCTTGAGTAGTAGCATAATAAGGTTATAATTGGTTGAATTACAGGTTCTTGCATTATTCTTTGGAATACATTAGTTATAAATATATATATATATATATTCTTATCTTGAACACTTGTGTGTGTGCGCATGTGTGTTATACTTATGTAAATAAATGAAAGATCAATTACTGGAGGGAGCAGGGTGAGGGGTAAGGATGAAAGGTTTTAAGGAAGTGAGCATAGATACGGGAGCGGAATAAGGATGATCAGGTCCCCGGTCTTGAGCAGTAAGAGGGGGTACGAGGGCAGTGCGGCGGTTCGGGTGCTCGGTCCCCGTGAAGCAATGAGGAATTGTCCTGTATGTGGTAATATGTTCCACTAATAATAAATTTAAAGGTAAATTCCCTTCTTTCTGTGATTTTTAAATTCCCTTCTTTTTATTTTTGGGGGGACTGAATAAATGACAGGAGGGACAGAGGGACAAGAGAGATGAAAGAGAGAGTGACTTATTGCTCGCGTTGTTGTGCTAACGGGTAAGTTCCTCTGGTAAGACCCTGGAAATCCAAGCCTTGAAGTCGTCCTCAAGGGGGCAGGTGGACCTCCAAATGGCCGCAATTATTTTGGGGCTAAGCACTAGGACTTAATTAGTCCCCACTGAACGCTAAGACTTGAGCACCAAAACTTAATATTCCGAGAGGCCAACTTAAGCCGTAATCACACTACGGATTGCGCGCTCTGCTCTGATTGGTTAGTTTCCAACATTCAACCGTAATCTCAATCGCAACAGAGCGCGCAACCCGTAGTGTGATTACGGCTTTACTCGGACTTCCGTCTCGGAAGATTGGCTCTGACAATCCCGACGATGAACGGCGATGAACTGCGATGAACTGCCCAAAAATCGGGGTTTTTATAGTGGTTCCCTTCGATTTGTCGTGCTCTGATTGGAGAACTGATTTTGTTAGTTAAACAAAGGGCTAAGTTTCTCACTCTGAGATTGGTTGCGTCTTGAGGGTGGAAAGGAGTTTGACCGATGTCACCGTTATCTTAAAATTTATGGTCCTACTTACTTAATTTACGCGAGGAGCTGCATCGAGTAAATGCACGTGCATCCTTTGTCGCGAGGCCGCCGTGTGACAGATTTTAATTTTTACGAGCGCAACTTGTAAGAATCATCTGCGATTTGACCGTTAGAAAAGCGCTCTGGCGCCAGTCTTGCATTTTTCGTTGACAGTAGAGTGAATATTTATGGCTTTTCTCTTTTTCGATGACAGTAGAGTGTATATTTATTACTTTTCCTAGTCGAGACTTCGAAAAGAAGATTCGCGTTCTCACGGTTCGTGCACGTGCGCTCGTAAATGAGTTGTCTTAGAATGACATTTATGGCGAGTTAACGAGTATTTTTACTTAGATTTTTGGGAAAGCGACAGCCGGACTGTCGATTATTTATTTATTAATAAGATGAAAATATTCAAGGACTCTTAGTGTAACAATAATTAATACAAACAGAAAGGGCGATGTAAGAGTCAAGTAAAATTTCATTTAAAAATAATACAATATATATAGGTATTTAATTTCAAATTTTAAAAGAATAATAGAATATTTATTTATTGTCTCGCTGTCCCGACACTTCTAGATCTTTCCGAAAGAAAGAATCGTGAGAATCCTCTGGACGTAACAATAGTACTTACGGATTTTTCATTCAAAATTTAATGGTATGTTCTATTATCTAAAATAAAAATAATGTATTATGTAAATACAGTTCCTAAATGTACTTTATTAAAAGTTATAATGCAAAATTATAAAATGTATACGCAATAGTTCAAATAATTAATTTAATGTTGCATTTCAAATCGTGATCTGTTCATATCAGTACAAGTTTGATGTCGATGAAATTCTAAATTTATTGTCTTTTTAGAGAAGGTTAGAGAAATCCTTCTTGTGAAAGTTTTCTTTTTCTTTAATTTGGAATAGCATTTTGACATGTAAAACTAAGAATTATTTCTTATATACATTTTATACTTTTGTTAACTTTTCATAACTTGTAATAAAACATTTCAGAAATTATATAATATATTTTTCTTATTTCAATCCATAAAACATGCCGTTAAAGTTTGTATAAAAAATCCAGGAACAATCCCTGTATAATAATGGTATTACATAATATATTTTTCTTATTTCAGTCCATAAAACATGCCGTTAAAGTTTGTATAAAAAATCCAGGAACAATCCCTGTATAATAATGGTGAGTTGTACTGGAAAAGGGTACTACCTATATAAGCGCCAAGTAATTCTTAAATTTTAGTAAATAATGCGTGCTAAAATTTTTATACAGCTGTTATAAAATTATAAGAATATTATACATTATACGTTATAAAATTATACATCAAAGTATTTAATAATTATTTTCATATACAATGCAAGACTAACATAGAAACTATTGCAGATATGCCAAAGCAGTAAACGTCACATTCAACCATGTTCTCTTCGTTCAGTTCTTTAGTAGTATACTGGTACTATGTACAAGTGTGTATTACTTGTCAATGCATATTAAGGAACTGTCTGCAGCTGCACCTTTATTAGTATATACTATTTGCATGTTTGTACAAATCTTCGTTTACTGCTGGTCCGGAAACGAAGTCATGCTCAAAGTAACTATTATGTACGCTATAATCCATACAAAACAAATGTCTAGCTTACAGATTTATGAGTTAATGGAAAATAGCGGATATTTTGAACAACCCAATTTTTGAACAAGGTTTTGCGAAATAATCTAACAAATAATATGTTTTCTTTCAAATAATATCTAACAAATTTGAATTATTTTATACTTGAGTACAATAAAAAAAAGAATATCTATTTTCTACATATGAATTATATTTAATGCAGATATGCGTGCATGCGCGTGTTTACGACTATAATAATATCATTGATTGTTCGAAATTATTATTTTTTAATCAAGCTGGATTTTAAATATTTAATGTAAATAATTTTATTGTATGTGAATTTATACATATATAAATTCACATGGAATTACAAACACATAAATATCTAGCTTGACTGTTTATAGGATTTTTTTCCTTTTTTGTTGTGGGTTCACATATTGTGCGGTCCTAAAAATTTGGTATTTAATATTTGAAATTATTATATAATAATAATTTTAATAACATTTTATGAACCTTGCCGTTCATTTCAAAGTAAGAAACACACAGATAACTGTATCAATGCGTTACTCGTCTTAAATGAAGTAAACGGTAATTTTCATGAATAGTTGATATTATAGTAATGGGTCACGATGTGGTGATAATCGCAAACTCTTTGATACCTTTAAAGAAAATATCCGTGAAAATCTTAAAAGTATTATGTAATAATAACTTTATTTATATTATGTTGATAGAGCATGAACATAGCAGACGCTATATATCGTATGAATTGGCCATTATTATCAACAAACGAAAAAAAAGGATTATTGATGATCATGATACGTAGTACAGTTCCTGTAAAGTTCACTAGTAGCTTCTTGATAACTTTATCCCTTCAGTCTTATAGTAACGTTAGTATCACTTGGTGTCTAAATAAATATATTTTATGTAAAATGTGAGCGCGCGCGCGCATGCGTGTGTGTCAAATACGCAATTTGTGACATTATCGATCCGATGTTTGTCGTGTAATACAAAATTACACAGTCAGAAATTTTCACATAAATGCATTATTTTCTATGTACATTAATGTTTTCTATATTTTTCTTTCAGATTTTAAAAACTTCATATTCAGCATTTAACATATTACAAAAGTAAAATATAAATGACTAAAAGAGTATACATTTGAGCATGCGATGTACAAAGTATAATTTTGAGTATAGTTTTAAGTATAATGGTTATAGTTTAGTTTAGTATCAAATAATTTAATTTAGTTTAGCTTTGAGTACAATTCGTAGATATAATAATAGCTTTTTTAGTATAGTTTTTGATAAATTAGTTATTCTAAATCTTATAACTTTTGTTTACTCACGTATTTTTATTTCTAGCTTTATTCCTATTAACTTATTCCATTTATTCAAATAATAGCACACGAAAGCAGACACGCACGTACATACATATACATATATTAAATGTATACATGTAACACAATGTAATACATACAATAATATGCTTTAATATATATAAACAGATATTTTAAATCAAACGTTCACTTAATTTAAAAAATATAATTTCTTTTTATAAACGTGTTACCTTCAATCTTTTGCGAACAACATTTTTTTTTCCAGAAGTAATTCACAATTTTCCAATTTACTCATCATATACTTTACAAGCTAATTCAATGTGCGGATAAAGTTAGTTTAGAAAGTATTTGGACTCATATATTATGCATCTTTCGATTTACATTTCTCGTTAAGGCCTCGCTGTACACGGTCAGTAATACTGTCAGTATATCAACGAATATTGATAATATTATTGACTATGTGTGGTTAATATTAATGGATTGACGTAGAATACTGACAATGATTTGTATTTAAATACATGCTTTTTTCTTAAGATTCATGTCGCTATATGATACATAATAATATACATCAAATCACGTCAAACTGAAGTGAAATATTATCAATAATACCTAATCGTATAAGATTGTAAAAACTAATGCATACTGTCAGTAATACTGATCAGTAATACTGACTCAGTATTACTGACCGTGTAGGGAGGCCTTTACAATTAAATGTCTTAAAAGCTGCGTCCAGACTAGCAAGCCGAACCTCGAGCCGAGTCGAGTCGCGAGCCGCCGAGCAGAACAAACGCGAGAACAGGAGATATTTTTGTAATATTGTCCATTGTATATATACGCGTATATAAACAATATAAACAATATGGGTCGCTTGCGACGTTCGTGAAATTTAGTTAAAGCTCGATTTGATTTCGACTCAAAGTTCAGCTCGATAATTTCGGCTCAAAGCTCATCAGCTCGGGGCTCGGCTCGCGGCTCGGCTCGGCTCGAGGTTCAGCTCACGGCTCGATAGCCTGGATGCAGCTTTATATTATTATATAATAAAATAAATTTATCTCATATGCAAAAGATATCTTGCGTTATTATTGTTGCAGATGACATATGAAAAAGCGTGTAAATATAATACTTATTTCATTCGATGATTTTTATGATAATGTGTAAAAGATTATGAAAAATTCTCGATCATTGTACAAATAAAATAATTTATATAATTATAGAATTTACAACAAATGGAAAATGATATATATATGCATTGATATTATGTGTGAGATATTAAAATTGAATTTCTATGAAATTATTCCCACGTCGCGACTAAAGTGCCACAACCTTTTAATTAATTGTTCTCTGGCGTGACCAAAGAGGTTATATAACTAGAGCAGAACAGCCAGCTAAGACTGCGTGAGCGCATCGAAAGAGACAGAAAACGAATCAGAATAGGATGTCCCTATCGTAACCCTTGTTCAATCGCTGTCACTCCCCACATTAAACAAGAATAAAGATAGGGACATCCTATTTGCTTTCTCTTTCTATCGCCTAACATTTCCGTACATACATTGTAGTTGCTATGGCTTTGCCACTCTAGTTATATAATCTCTTTGGGCGTGACATTAGAAACTGGTTGCTATAATACGTTGTTTAAAACTAGAAGTCAGCGACAGTTTTGTACCGATCTCGGAACGGAGATGATCTCGGTGTTACCACAGAAAAACCTAAGATTGGACATCCTGACCTTTTTCGTATACCAATCTCATAGGGGAATATCCACTCTCAGGTTTCTCTCTAGAGTCATTTAAAGATTAAATAAAATAGTTGAAGATTTTTATTAATTCAATCTTAATCCATCGATTCGTAACTTTAATCTAGTTTCGCATTGTCATTGAAGCCTGACATAAAATTTGGAGCACTAGTTTGAAAATAGAAATTTTGAATTTCACCATGAAAGGGTCCGTCTTCTTACAATATCAACGACTTCGATCATATCGGCAAGAGGATGATGGAATGACCAAACTGTCGACGTGTATTATAGATAGATAAAAATCTCCGAATTATATAACTAAACAGAATAAAAAATCCTTTTAAAGTAGACGCAAAATTGGGAAGTGCTGCAATGGACTCTTTAATTCTTTATACTAAAATAAAAAAAAAGATAAAATCTTACATTTTTTTTCAACTAGTAGAGCTGCTTGTATGGATCAACAAAACGACAGTTCAGTACCCAGTATTTTACATAAACAATGCTGAATTTATAAAACTAATTATAAGATTAAAAGCTTTTATAAAAGCAGATACTAAATCGTGACTAAATTTTAAATGCAAGAAACGATATCAATTAGCGCCATTAGCGATAGACGTAGAATATTAGAAAAAAGTAGATTCCAAGGCGATTACAGATATTTTTAGGACTTCACATTTGGATGATCTGTGGATGTACGCACATGTAAGACATAATAAGATGTTTATTTGATAGTCCACAAAGCGTCTTTAGAAAGTTATTTAGGACATGTTATGAAAGCATTCAGAAAATTTTTATACATTTATTTATTTGGACTAAGGATGTTCCAAAATTTTAGAATTCTAAAATTTCTGATCTTATCCGAACGTTCTAAAAACGTTGTGAGGTTACCTAAAGACGTCTTAAGATGGCTTGAAGATGACGTCCTAAAAAATGTTCCGTGGAGATATGAATATTCTTATAATGTTCAGAATATTAGAATATATACAGAATGATCCTGAGGACATCTTGTGCTACGAAGGTTTATATTCCATAATTTATTTAATTCTTATAAATATACCTTATAACAGATAAAACAAAGAATACAATATTAATTATAATTATTTTGAATGCATAACACACAGAATGTTGTCTATAATCGACAAGATTATCAATATTATTCTCAAACCTATCAGTATATCGTCATATAGATAAACTGCTTTCTGAATTGCTGTTAAATATGTGTATATGTATGTGTGTTTATGAATGTTACTTTTGGTTAACTGAAATTGATATCTAGTATTATTGAGCTCAACTACTTAGAACGATTATATTTAAATCAAGTAATAAAAATCAATAGAAGCGTGTACCAAGAGAGAATATGACTGAAATATCCTTCTCAGCTACACATGACTTTATTATAGCGTAAAAATGTCGATAATTTTTTTACATAGTAATAGATAATACTTATACGCACTTCTTCGAACTTCTTTATTATAAAAAAAAACGGATAGCTGTTAGAAACGGCAGGTTGTGTGATACGAAAAACAACATACACACGAGTTGCAGTATACCAAAAAGAAAAAGACTTATTATAATCAGTAGTGTGTTACACTTCTTCTTCAGTAGTGGTAGTATGGGGATTCGAGATACACGCGTGTTAGTGCGTTGTGCGTGTACGTATATGCGATACGGTGTGTGTGTGTGTGTGAGGCTATGGAGGGGGAGCCGGGCCGCTGCCCGCTGCCGCCGCCGCCGCCACCGCCGCCGCCGCCGAAATGTTTACGCAAACATTTTTTGTCATGAGATGCAACAGTCCCTTTCTTAAATTCTTTTAAGTCCTTTTTAAACAATAAACATCAATAAGAATTAGATATACTAACTAGACCGATCCTAGACTGGGAACTCCGAGGGGAAAGGGCAGCGCGGGGAAGGTATGGGGAGAGGAAAGGGCAGCGCGTGTCCAGGATTTCACATTCCTTTGCTGAAATGTTTACTTAGACACGTGTTCAAAACGTGCTAGCATCGTTGTTAGCACATTCTGAATATGGACCATAAACTTTTTTTCATCGCTTTTTCTAGCCCTTTTTTCTCTATGCAATGGCATCATCGCGTGAAAAACAAATCATGCATTTTCGTCGTCATCTCCCACAGCGCGCTATACTTACCACGTGTATACTTACCAAATATACTCACCGTCTCTCTTACTCATATCATCTTCTTCTTCTTCTTATGCAGCTTCCATCTCAAAGATTTTTTCTTTTATATTTGTTTTAAGCAATTAATAATAATTCGACTTATTTCTATTATTTTTTATTCTAATGAATTAATAGTAATTTAAAGAGCGCATGTTTTATAATATATAACTACCGCATGAGATAACGATGTCGCACGCAGTTGTCGGCACGTGGTATAATATAACGCGATACCGCGCGAAGGAAGGAAGAAAGGAAGGAGAATAAATGTGAATATTATTATACTATTTAAAATTTTTTACTATTTAATTAATAAGAAATATACGTGTGCGTGCGTGCGAGCGTGCGTGCGTGCGTGCGTTCGTGCGTGCGTGCGTGTGTGTGTGTGTGTGTGTGTGTGTGTGTGTGTATGTGTGTGTGTGTGTGTGTGTGTAAAAAATAAATTGAAAGTATTTAAAAGGTAGTCGGTTGCGTCTGTTATTGTCATTTGTGATTGTGTTAATTATTCGAAATACTTATTGAAACTTTTTTCAGGTTTTTTATATGATTCAAACATGGATCCTTTGCGCTCTCAAATAGCTTTGCAAATGAATCGTTTCCTTCTTATACAAAATGCCGTCGAAGATATCCTAGACGATACATTTGATACGCTTTCTCGGCATATAGTAAACACCCGACTTGAAGTACTGGAGTCAAATTGGAATAAGTTTCAGGCAGAGCATGACAGATTATGTAACGGTAATTTAGGTCATATCGAAGAAGCATCTTATATAAAGCACCGTACGTACGAAAGATGCCAGGAATTCTACGTCCACGCAAAATCTGTTTTGCTAGAACAACAGGAACTGATAGAAGCTTCCCACCCTTCTTCACGAGCATCCGACACACAGAGAGTAGACACACGATTCAACAATCGACGAAGCAATTTACCAAGAATAAGTTTGCCTACATTTTCCGGCGATTATAACTCCTGGCGCTCCTTTCACGATCTATTTATGTCTATGATTGGCGGCAACGACGAATTAACTAACGTGAAAAAAATGCATTATTTAAAGACGTGTCTTTCAGGTGATGCCGCCCGACTTGTCACTAATTTGAAAGTCTCTGATGCCACCTTTAGTATTGCATGGAAAACCTTGGCAACTCGTTACGAGAATAAACGAGTGCTTATCTCCGCTCATTTAGACAAACTATTAGGATTGAAGCCCGTCAAGTCAAAATCCCCGCAAGAATTAAACACGCTCATGGCTACAGTAACAGAATCGTTGGGAGCTCTAGAAGCATTGAACTGTAATACAAGTTCATGGGATCCTCTCCTTATCCATCAGCTATCTCGTCTGTTAGATGAAGAGACACGCGTGGATTTGGAGGAGAAGCTAGGATCTTCTACAACTTATCCTACTTTAAAAGAGTTCGAGAAGTTCGAGGAGAATTGAAAAAAATTTTTTCAGACTTACAATGCAACTCTAATCAATTACCGTAGTAATATCATTTTAGTTAAATTGACAAGCAATCTAACAATTTAACTAAAGTGATATTACTACGGTACTTGATTATAAAAATTTCGGCACGCGACAAAGTGACTACATACGTGGTAAATAAAATTCACACATTACTTTAGCAACCAAAATCCTTGCTTGACCGTCATTAGGCCTTTATTTACTTGTGTTTAAATACCAACGGTCCTACACATATCGTAATATTGGAAACAAATACAAACTAGAAAGTACCTTAATTCTATTAGACGATAAACCGATTTTTATAAAATTGAATGTTGTAACTATTAATATTTTCATAACCTAAGCAGAAATAACCACTTGATAAAATAAGCCCGAAAACAGGTAAAAATAAGAAAAAGATAAAATGGGTTAAATAGGAAATAGAAAAATATAAATATACAGTTTTAGGAAACTGCAAACATGTAAAATAATGTAATATCAACAATAATATATCCATTAATTATAATTTACGCTACGCAATTGTAAAAGAGAATTGTAAGAACGTTATTTTTAGCTGCTTTTATATAGAAACAAGTTACAAATGTATAAAAATCCGTACCATTGTAGTTCCTACATTGACCACTTGGTCATCGATGGCGCAATACATCTTGGATTTCGATATCTCGCGATATAAGGTCAGCATTAGCAGTCCATAGTTATATAGTCAAAGGCGGCGGGAATCCCCGCTCTCCGCGGTCCGCACGCCATCGAACTATCATGGGCGTATACACTGACCTAGTTTCCACCGAAACCCTCAATTCGGTTCCACTACGGTATAGATCAAACTTGGTGTACTGTTTCCATTGGAAGTAGAATTGAAGTGAATTAATGTTAAAATTTCATTGTATGACCAAATATCACGCTTATTATCCATTTTTGAACGGCTTATACTTTTAACCTTTTAACGAATAATGAAAAGGTTGGCGATATTTACTTTTAATCTATTTCAGTCGTTTCCACCGACTAAAATTTAATGTCAATTCGCTGCCACTCTGGTAGAAGTTGTGGATCGAAGTGGAAATGAAATGAGCAGAGTCAAACGTATTTCCATCGAGTTAAATTTGGTTCAACGTCGCATTAGGTGCGAATTAATGCTTCGGTGGAAACTAGACTAGGGCAGTAGTAGGCCGAGCGGACGCACGTATTCGGTAATATTTACCAATTATTATCTCATTGACTATTGCAAAAATTGCAAAAAGGTAGAGGACTTTTCGACTCAGTTCAGTCTGCTCTACCTATTCATTTAATATTTTCCAGTTAGTCTGGGACATCCTGTATACTACAATAAATACTTTATCATGACGGATTGCTGTGATAAGCTCATTGAGGTTATTTCGTTCGTTCCGTTCAGTGTTCCGTCAATATTTTTCTCATCATGTGAAACCCAGTTACGAAATAACGTAACAGAATTGCTCTGATTGGCTCTGGTTAACCTCTTCCATTTGCCTTTTCCGTTGTTGTTCCGTTCCGCTATTTCTGACTCCATGTGACTGCACCCTAAAGATGTACAGTAGGGACAATAAGGCCCCGTTTTCGATTCAGCCGCGCAGATTTGCTTGCGCATCGTAAAACGGTCATGTTTTTGGTAGCATCAATCCCGATCAAAGTAGAGAATCCATCGTATCTACGTTATAATAATGGAAAAACATAACCAAACTCAGTTAAGAGTTTATCGTGTCACACCATGGACCTAAGAGTGGACCTATGGACCTATCTAAGAGTAAACCCATGGACCTATCTAATCATTTTATTATAATTTGCTAAAATTAAAAAATTTTTATAGACAGCGGTTTCTAATACTATTGATACGGTACTTGGCAACCAACCACAACCAACAACATGGCGGAGCCTGAAAGTCCGGTTGGAAAAGATCAAAGGTACCGACGCTGCTTGTCCAGTTGTCCCTAATGTATATCCTTATACTGTGGTTTAACGTTCCTGAACAGGGAAAGGAGTAGAATGGTACTTATAATAATATCATACATGTTATAGTATACGTTAATTTTAAAACTATGATTGTTGATAACTTTTTAACGAAGGACGAACGACGGCTAAAACTTGTTGGAGGTTACTCAGGGTCATGACCTTGACAACATATGTCAAGGTCAAGGTCATAGCGCTGGCCTCCCTTTTTATGCACTTTTACCAAAATTTTAATAATATATAACAGTATTGCGGTTTGAAATATTATTAATTGTTAAACATCTGAGGAGGGCTGAATCACACAGCCGAAACATGTAATGTAATTTATGCGTAGCTTAGCTTTTTAGTCAGATGTAAATCAAGTTTTTCACCTTTTTTTTAAATTTTAATAAACTATTTTTACTAATTTGACTCTTATCAGTCCTTAAATTTATGGTGAATAATATGGTTCTCATAATATTCATAATTTATTACATATTTGTGCACACGTTAAAAAGTATGGTCTCGTAGATGAGTTCAGTGCGTTTTTCCATTTGAAAATTATATGACGTATATTAAAACATTGATTCGTAAACCAGATAAATCTCTTTAGCAACTAGTAAAACGGTACGCCGAAATAGAAATGTTGAGTTTAAAAGCCTCAAATCATATTAACTTTCATATGCAATTCAAGAAATTTCATAAAACTGGACCTCTAATTAATGGATACAATGTTACACTTCTCAATTTAAAATACGTCAAAGTAATTCATATTCGATTCATGATAATCGACGAAATAATTGTGTACTTTTGTAAGATGGAAACATAGTTTTAGTTTTAAACTTAGTAGAATGTGAAGATAGAACAAAATTAATTATTGATAAAAAATTAAAACGCGATAAAAATCTATATTCAGTAATTTGCGAATCAAATACTTTTAATATTCAATTTGTGATTGAAGAGGATTGTGTTCGTGTATGGCCATGTGAAAAAATTCAAGCTAAGATGTGGATAATGGTTTATAAAAATAATTTAAGCAGTGTTTTTCCTATTATATTCATACGTAAAAGATAAATTTTTCATTTTATAGAATTTTGACCACTCAAATTATGTGCAAACGTATTCTAAAATATAATTTAAGTTTTTTTTTTTTTTTTTTAATCGTTAAAATTGTTTCTTGTGTAATGATTTTTTTTTAAGTAATGAACTATGAACATATGGATAGTGAATTTAATATTAAAATGTATACATATATACAAACATATATGATATAAATGAATTGAAGATTTGAAGGGCTCTTTTATTTAATAATAATTAACACGTTAAAATTGGGCGAATAAGAGTCAAATTACAATTTGAAATCTAAATCTGATAATTTATTCTAATATTATATATTGCGAAGAATATCACGTAATTTTTGGCGTTTCGTCCCGGCTTCCACTACTGGACTCATCAGTAAGGCATTGTAGTGGAAGCTTACAGTATATATGTATATATGATATATATACATATATTACAGTATATATGATATATATACATATATTACAGTATATATGTATATATGATATATATACTGTGAAAATTTATATTACTGTAAGCTGGGCCGAGAAAAAATGTCGGACGCTCGAAGCGATGTCGGGACTCGAACCGAGGACCTCATATGTAGTTCGAAACACAAAGCCACCGCCTTGCCGCTGAGCCACACAGCCCGACACTTAGATCTTTAACTGATATCTTACATTACATATAATTAATAAATATAACAGATCGAATAAATGTATTGATGTATATAAGAAATAAAAATAATTATAGATGTTTCAAATATTATTTTCATTTTTTTTTTTAGCTTTATTAATGGTACATTTTAATTCTGTAATTATGTTTTCTAGATAATTGATGACTGATACATGAGAATTAAGCTATTATGATGATATTATTATATTAATATATGTAATGTGAAAAATTAATAATTTCCTATTAAGTTTCTTTTTAATTATTGTTTCATTTTATGACATATTTAAATCAATTTTAAATTAGTTTTTCTAAATCGTCCATATGCTATAAAATTGTTACAGTAAAATTATCGTTTAAAAATATTTCTCCTATACGCAATATATTAAAATTAATTCAAAAGATTTTAACGAATTTATTGGCTCATTACCCTATTTCTCTATATTAATTGTTAAAAACATATTAAACCTTATTACAAACAATTTAATTTTTTAAATGTTCAAATGTAAATATACTTTTGTTGAATAACGTACGTTTTTAAAACATTTGTATTAAGGACGTTTGGACCAGATTGAGGTCAAGTTTGGATATCCAATGGATGTTCTGTGCTGTCTAGGCATTTATGAGATTGTATCACATTGTAGCTATTGAAGCTAAAATAAAGATCAATCAACAATCTCTCTCTCTCTCTCTCTCTCTCTCTCTCTCTCTCTCTCTCTCTC